TTAAAGTAACAAATGTTTCTAAATAAAACAAGCAATACTTTTGTGAACTGATGTGAACCACTCTGTTGAGTGTACTGTTGTTTTTAAGCACTGTTGAGTCAGTTCCGACTCAGTGACATTGTTTAGGGATTCCTAGGAGCTGATGGTGGATTTGAATCACAGTTCCTGTGGTTCATAGTCCAGTGTTGATCCTACAATGCCACACTAGTGTACTAGTATATAAGTATGTATATAATATATATATTTTGTTGTTGCTATTGTTAAGTGCCATCAAGTCGGTTCCGTATACTGTTTCCGAGGAGCATGCGTCTGGTATGGCACTGTAGGACAAGTGCAGGACTGTGAAGTCAGTTTGAGCCACAAGGTTGGTTGTTAAAACTCACCAATCATTCCTCAGAAACCTTATACTGGCTTGTTATGAGTTGGAACAGACTTGACAGCACTTAACAACGAAGTATTCTGACTCATAGCAACTCTGTGTAGGATTTTTGAGAAGCAGATGGCAGGCCTACAACTACCAACTTTGTGGGTCAAACTGACCTGAGATTCCAGTGTTTCTCATCTCCCTAGCTACTAATGGACATAATAGCCACAAAGAAACATAAAATAAAGTATGTGCCTTAGGGGGAGATGACTGTCCTCTGAAGAAATCTACAAGTCTGTTTAAGTATCTTAATGGGATACAAAGGGGAGAACTGTTCCTGACACCAGTAAAGTTTTGAATAGCCATTGGGAGATACTACCCACCGCCCTAAATTGAATTGCTAACCCATGAAACATGTAACAGCTTAGATGCGCCATGATTTTCAGTGATTTGACAGTTACATGGTGATGTAATGTGACAGTTACATGATGATCCCCCACGATGTGATCTCATGTGATAAACATCAATAAGAGGATTAAGTGTTGGCTACACCACCCTTAGTCCCATCACAACCCTGATCAGATGTAAATGGGATTCCCAGAAGTGTGGCATGCAACATATTTTATCTCGTAAGAGATAAGATGAGGAAGAAGTGAGCAAACACGGACCTACCACCACCAGGAAATAGCAGCCAGGAGTGTGGTACATCCTTTTGATCTGGGGTCCCTGAAATGTGAAGCTCCCAGATTCAGGGAAACACAGCAGTCAAAATACATGGAAATCTCCAAGGAATACTGGACCTACAGATACTGAAAGAAGGTAAGGACCTTTCCCCAGAGCATGTGCTCTGAATTCAAACTTCTAGCCAACTAAACTTCAACAGAATAAATTTATCTTTTTTAAAGTCATCCACGTATGGTATTCCTTTTATAGCAGCACTAGATAACAAAGACATCTACCCAAAACAGAGGCAATAAATGATGTCCACTGCTGACAACGGGTCTCTAACTTTTATTACTCCTTTTATCTATCTGTAAGTGTGTTACACTGCAGTAGCTTACATGTTACTGTGATGGTGGAAGTGATGCCTCCTTTATTTCCATCACCAGCAGGGTCAGTCATGGTGGACAGATTTCAATAGAACTGACAGATTAGGAAGAAAGACCTAGCAATCTACATCTAAAAAAGCTAGTCAGTGAAAACCATGTGTATAGCAGCAAAATATTGATTTAGTGCCAGAAAGTGAATCTTTCAGGTTTGAAGGCATTCAAAATATTACTTAGAAAGAGCTGTTTTTTCAAAGAAAAGTTGACTTTAATGTCACACATGGAGACAGTTTAAGAGAGCTTCATGAAACAGCTGTGAACCTCCATTAATAAATTGGAATGTGGATGTACAAAGCATGAATCTATGGAAATTGGAAGCAAAAGAAATAATAAAAGGAAAGAAAAAAATGGTAGCTGGAAAATAGAAATGAAGTTGAAGATCA